GCCGATTTCTTTAGGCCAGGATTTCTCAAGCCTTACAGCCCTGGAGAGCAGGGGTCCTCTCTGTGGTCCCCAGGCCAGCAGCAGCTGCACCCCCGGGGCGGGGGGGGCTTGTTAAAAATGCAGATTCTCAGGTCCTGCCTCAGACCTCCTGAATCAGGAACTCTGGGGGTGGGTCCAGAAATCCTGATTTTTAACAAGCCCTCCAGGGGATTCTGATGCAAGTTATAGTGTGAGACCCACCGCTGAAGAGGTTGCAATATAATTTGACTACCGACCAAGCCCCTTTTTTTTTTAGGGAAACCAGACTTTATGCTTTGTATTATGTCTTCTTTCATGACCCATTTTTAACCGCACAAAAAATGCTACTTTAGCAAATATAATTAAAATTTCCCAGGTCTGTCTAACTTTTAGGTGGGAATCTCCCCTCTACATTTTTATAACATATTTATCTCCCAGTAGGACATAGCTCTGTCTCACAAAATTCAATAGAGGTAAACAGGGTTGATATATAGACATCAGTTAGAAGGAGGAGGAGATGGTTTTTAAAATTTCCAAGAAGACCAGGGGCTTTTGGGTAGCATTTGTGGAGCTACGGGGGAGAACACTATTTTCTGTGAGTGCTTTGGTGACGTGGAGCCAACTTGTGTCCGAGCTGGGGTGGCAATAAGAGGGCGTGGGGACTTCTTCCTGCACGGAACTCATGGCTCTGGTTTCCGGAGAAATGAAAGGCCCAGCCCTGGGCCTCACCACGCCACTTGCTCCGCCCTCCTCCGCTGGAACTCTGCCCCATCCACTGTCATCCCCTCTCTCTCCCCTCGAGGCCCTGGCTCTTCTTCATCTCAGACGCCTGAGCCTTCCTTCTCTTCACCACCGACTCCCTTCAAGGAGCTGCCACACATGGGATTTTGTCTGACCTCCGCCCTGCAGCAGGGACCTCTCCGGGGGGCTGGGAGCAGCGGGTCACAGGGGCCACGGCTGACAGGCCGCGCTAGCCCTCTCGCTCCTCCCCGGCACACAGCGTCTGGCCCTTGGCCCTGAGCCTTCAGGGCACCACCAGAGGCTGCCCGGGGCTCTCAGCCTCCGCAACGCCCCCGAGCTGGACTCACCTCCCCCACTTCTTCCCCAGCTTCCCTTTGTAAGGGTCACTCCATTTTCCTGACCAGTGGGACGCACAGGTCAAGAATGCCTGGGGGTCTCCTGTCAGTCTCTCCCCATTTTGACCTGAATTCCAACCAGACCCCAGGTCCATCCACACCACACCCCGCCTTTCTCCTTACTCCTCAGTCAGCCCCTTCGCCACCTCTAGGCTCTCCCGTCTGATCCCTGAAGGCTGCCAAGCCAAGCGTCTGCAATGCAGCAATGATCTCTCTCACAGCTTCCCGTTTGTCAGTGAACCCTGCAAATCCCGGCCGGGAGCAGCCCGTGCAGGTTGTGGTAGCACTTCTGAGGCTGCCCTCCCAGGAAGCCATCTGTGGTTACAGTGAGGTTAAATATCCCATCTCCCACCCAGGGATTCCCAAAGGATTCCCTGTGACCTCAGGGAGAAGGATGCCCCTTCAGGGAGCAGCCTCCACCTGATCTCATCTGATGGGAAATGCACAGCGGGTGGGGGTCCGAGCACCTTGGTCTTGGCGCGAGGCTGGTCACCTCCTCTGGAACTCAGGCTCATTTCTGCACTTTCAACCTTACTAGGAAGGAAGCTCTCTTTCTCAGTTTCCTTTAAAGGGACATTCCCTTATCAACCCATCAACTGCCTGCAATCAAGCTCTAGTCTGCAAACAGCGAGTGGTAAGTAAACACACAAGCTGTTCCTCCTTTGATGCCACGAGGAAATGTTACAACCCACTTGGTTCTGTGAGCAGGCCCAGCCACAGCTGAAGAGAAGTCAGCTTCCCTAAGATCACCTTCCACTGGCCCAGAGGCCCCTCCCATGTGCTCCTCTCATCTCCTCGGGGTAGGGGGTGCTTTGAGCCATCTCCCTGAGGTCCAGTCCCCTTAATTCAGGCTGCACCCTCCTCAAATGCAGAGAGCACATCTCCCATTTTCTTCTTAGAACCTCATGGTCCTCAGCCCGCAGAGGCAGGGCTTAGCTGACTTGCTGAGCTGTGCTGGACCAGGAAGGGCTGAGGGCCCATCTCAAGATTTCTATGCTATGTTCCTGCCAAATAGTCCATAGCTCAAGGGACCAAGTTACATGGCAGATGTGAAGAAAGAAGGGTTGCGATGTCATTGGAGAAATGGTGGCCTGTGTGGCCAGTACTGGGGAGCACAAGGCCTCACTCAGACCCCGGAGCTTCTAGGAGCTTCTGGGAGAAGGGTCACCTCATCTAGGTCCTCAAAAATAATGAGTTGGAAAGAAGGAAAGAATTGTATCCGAGGTGGAGGGAATGGCACGTGCAAAGACAAAGAGCATGAAGATGCCTTGCTAACTAGTTCTGGACGCACATGGCTGGAATGTCCTGTGTATCTGGGGGCAAAAGGGAAGGCAGGGGAGCAGGGCAGAGATGTGCAGGCTCTCGTCTGTAGCTGGGGTAATCACTGAAGGATTTTAGAGGGGGGAGTAAAAGAATTGTGTTTGCCTTTGTAGAAGGAGCCTCCAACAAACTATATGTGCACTTGAGAATGAACTTCCAATTGCTGTGTTGGATGGATCCTGGGGAAGCAGGTGGAAGGGTATTCCTGAATGTCCCAGGGAGAGATGACAGAGCTGGGAGGGAAGGACATACATCCTGAGACCCCAGGGGGAAGACAGGACCCCACAGGCAACTGGGTGGAGGATGAGGCCAAGGGAGGCATGGAGGCCAGTGGTTTCAGTCCTGACTGCACACTGGAATCCCCCAGGGGACTCTGAGAACATACACAGAAATGGCCTTGCCGATGCCGGGTGGACAGCCTGGGCGGGGCGGGGAGGGGGGCGGCGGCGAGGCCGCATGGACAGTACTGTGAGACGCACAGCTAAGACGCTGTTGGCCATGAAGGGGGTCTACGGGAGAAGAACGGTGACCGTGCGTGCGTGTGCGCGTGCGTGCGTGCGTGCGTGCATGTGAGAGAGAGGGAGAGAGGATGAGAGACAGAGTGCATGTGGGTGTGTGAAGAGAGGGCCCACGAGGTGATAACAAAGGCCCCTGAGAGATCAGCTCCATCATACTCCATTCCTTGTGAGAGAGTTAACTGAGCACCTATTCTGTGGCGGCTGCTGTGTAGGCTCCTGAGATACAGACACGACAATTAATTGCAGGAACACTGAGCAACATAAGAAAGGCACAGCGTGGCCTTCACTCCACCATCCAGCCATCCACATATTCCTCTACCAGCCCTCCACCCAAAACCCACCCATCCATCCATCCCTCTGCTATCCGTCTATCTACCATCTACCCATCCATCCATTATCCACTAAACCTCCACCATCCATCCCTTGGCCATTACTAAGCAGAGGTGGCACTATTCCCCAAAGCAGTCTCATCTCCTCTGACCTTGCTGCTCTCCATCCTTATCATCTTCTCTTCAGACTGCCCCTCTCACAACGGCCTTCTTTTCTGCTCAGACCATCCTAGTCAGGGCTCTGCCCTAAAAGCCACATGCCTTTGGGAATCCCTGGGTGGGAAATGAGATATTTAATTGCCCTGGTGTTTCCAGGGAGCCAGATGTTGGGTACTACAGTGCCTTACTAGCCCAGATGTTTGGTTTTAGTTTTTCTCTCTAGTTGATCCCAATTGTAGCAGGGAAAAAAAATTCCCAGCTTTGGACCCAGTAAATCTGAATTCAAATTCTGGTTTTGCCAATTTCTGCCTAAATGACCTTAGACAAATTCTTAGACAAAACCCACAGACCTGGGTCTGGTGGAATGTCAGCTTATATACCTGATTGTAGTAGAAAATACCCACACTTATGAGCCTGACATTCAGCAGAGGCTTGATAAGTGTTAGGTCGTTACCACCTCCTCCCCCCCAGGTAGATGCAGCCTGAGAGAGACAAACGCACATGGTCTTTTCGATTTGAGGGGATTCCATATGGAGGCTGTTGTGAGGCTCTGTGTGTGTGTGTGTGTGTGTGTGTGTGTGTGTGTGTGTGTGTGTAGAATTCTTCCCAAATGTGCAAAGGAGGAAGAAGACCTTGGCACAGGCCCAAGTGTGTCCGACCCGATGAAGGGCCCTTCTTGAGGGGAGTAGCTATGCACTAAGCAAATGTTGCCCTCGAAGCCGACTGGGTTAGTGGCTCTCCACCCATCTGCCTCCTGGATATGCCTGTCCGAGACCAGGGCCCCACCCCGGAGACTGTCCTCCTAGCTGTGGGGTTGGCCTGGCACTAGGAGATGCTGAAGCTCCTCAGGTCCATCTAAGACTCAGTCAGGTGGCAGAACCACGGATGTAGAGTTTTCTAGATGTGTATGATTGTGAGAACTCCCTAGTGTCAAGGCGCAGCTCAAAGGCTCCCCCACTGGCCCTGGGATGGTGCTGGGGCTCCGTGTTTCACGAACACCCAAGGAGTCTCAGTAGAAGCCTTGTGGGAATTCAATCACAAAGAAGGAGCACAGAACTCAGATCTCTGCCATTTATCAGTAGGGGCCATTGGACAAGGTATGTGACCTCCTTATTCCTCAGATTCTCCAACGGCAAGGTGAGGAAAATAACTGTGCCTGCCTCACGGGGTTGCTGTGACAGACAACCAGGGGATGGGTGTCTACCCTTGAATTGGCCCTGGGGGGATGAGACGTGGGTGGCAATGGGATACTTCAAGTAAAGACCTCGACTCTGGGCTGACAACAGAGTTGTTTGGTGTCTGGAGTCATCCAGGTTGTAACTCGGTTTAGATAGAGGCCACCCTGTGGTTGTGCACTGAGGATCCAGCATGGCCAAGATATAGTCAAATGATGTAGGAAGAAGTGCCCAGCTGAGCTGCTCCCCAGCCCAAAGCCTCCACAAAGAAAGGAGTGAGGGTCCCACTCGCGGCCCCGGCCCCTGGAGGGGCTGCCCAGCATCCTTAGGTTCTTGGAAACTCACGCTCTAGAGTAGTTCAGAACGAAGTCCACGCCCTTCTCACTATCAAACTGGATGTCTCGGGGTAAATCCTTGTGACATTTGGCATCAATACTCAAAGGGAAGCCAGGGTTCCACTCCATCCACCTGAGCACGAATAAGAAGAAAACTGCATCAAATGCCTGGCCTTTGGGTTGGCCCCCTCAGACTAACGGCTGCCCTCGCGTTCTGAGGACGTGTCTTCCATCAGCTGAGTGTGCATCCTGCGAGGTAGTGGGACCCCTCCTGGGGGCTGGCGGTAGCCTGCTTTGCTGAGCCCTGAGCATCACAGTAGGACGTCCGGGGTCTCCTGAACCTGAGACTGGGCTCACGGCAGAGGAGTAGTGAATGGTAAGTGTGAGCCAGGGCATAAAAAGAGGTTGAAAGGAAGCATCAGAAGACCTCACTGATCTGGTGGGATGCTCAACCACCATCTACCCCCCTGGCATAGAGAGTCACCGGAGGTAGAAGTGGGTGAGGCCCCCACACTTCCAGGCTGGCCTGGACAGCCAATAGCCCTCCAGCTCAGCCAACACACCCCTGAACCATGTGTGGTGGCTGGGAAATGGGGACGGCGGTCATGCCTTCCCAGTAGGGTGCCCAGGGCAGCAGGGTGGTTGGATGTGGGGCCACAGGTCCAGACGCTGCCAGGGGCAGGCTTAGTGACTGTTATATAACAATCAAAGACAGGCCATGCATGCTATCCAGCCCAAATTTTCAGATCATGGTGTCTTTGAAACTTATCCTGCAGCATAGGGCATTTACATTGTTTTTTAAATTTTACTTTTTTTAAAAGACTTATTTTAGAGAGAGAGAGAGAGCGTGCATGTGCTTGTGAGCATGGGGTGGGAGGGGCAGAGGGAGAGAGAGAAACTCAAGCAGACTCCCCACTGAGCACAGAGTCCTACGTGGGGCTTGATCCCACCACCCTGAGATCATGGCCTGAGCTGAAATCAAGGGTCAGATGCTTAACTGACTGAGGTACCATGTGCCCCTTAAATTTTTTACTTTTTCTTTTCTTTGCTTACCGCAAAACCGAAACTAACCAAAACTGTTCATTTAGCTCAGAGAGAATGATCTTGTATTTGTTTAAAAACCAAAACTTACATTCTGGGTTAACAGCTTTTCCATTTGTATTCCTAATTCTCTTTTATTAAAATCTCTCTTATGACAGGAAAGTAAAGCACTGAGAGTTGAGGTCATGAAAAAGTCTGGAGTCCCTTTAATATCATCTTGTCCTTTTACTGTCACAAAAATCCCCATGGTTTTTTGTGCCGTCCTGTTGGCCAGTAAGACCCCCATTAGGACCACCAGAGGTGAACAGGAACTGGGTACGATCAGTCAGAGCAGATGCATTTTGAAAAGCATTTTCTGTTGTGCAGCACTGTCATTTCTCATTGTTGGTTTACGTATACTATTCCATTTTCCTGGACTTTAAGGAAATCTTCTATATTTGTTATATTTGTATTAACACCACTGTTGGTATGTTAACAGGATAAAATGTAGACAAGTGTACAATGTCAACTAATCTACTGATTTCCCCCCCTTTTTTTAGAAAATAATTCATTTCCTTGGAACTCCCCACTTCCCACTGCTGTTCCCCCCACCTCCTGAGGATGGCAGCACTGATGGATGGAAGTGCCCCACCTAGGGTGCTCGGGAGACTAAGGCCTCTCAGTGCATGGGAACAGTACAATTTGTAAGCTCACCACCACACACCCGTGTCCCTCCCACTGCAGGCCACTGCTGCCTGAGACACCTGACAGGCTGACCTGCACGGGGGCCAAAGGCCTTTGTGCCCATGGATAAATAGGCAAAGAAAAAAAAAAATCACACTCCACTGAGGAAGACCACGTTGAACAGCCAGGCAGAAGGAAGGAAGAAGCAAAAAGACATTTAATATCTTTAAAAAAAAGGAGGAGTGTTAAAGAGACTTAAGTAGAATGTTAAAAGACTTTCTCCAACAACAAAACATGATTTCTGAATTGAAAATTCAATAGAGAAATGGGAAAACAGTCACTGTGAGATCTAATTTGTCTCCTGGACAAAATTCGTCCATTCAATAACTAATTACCGAGAACCTGTCATGGGCCAGGCGCTGCTCTGTGCAAAATGGAAGAAAATGTAACACAAATACAGAGCAAAACCACAAAGAAAGGGAAACCACAATGGGGATTAAGGAGTGTACTCGTTGTGATGAGCACTGGGTGTTGTATGGAAATGTTGAATATTGTACACCTGAAACTAATAGACACTGTATGTTAATTACCTAGGATTAAAATAAAAACTTAAAGAAAAAAGAAAACACAGGAGACATGAAAGGCAGATATAGAAGATTTAACATGCAGAGACTAAGAGGTCCAAAAGGAGAGAGGAATATATGGAGAAGTAAAAATCAAGAAATAAGAGAAAAACTTTCTTAAGTTGAAAAGACCTCAATTTTCTGAGTAAGTCCTAGGCAGGAAAGAAAAGGAAAAAGGGCATATATAGATATATATTGCCAAAGACAGAGAAGACTGTGTGTGTGTGTGTGTGTGTGTGTGTGTTGGGGGATGGGGGAGAAAGAGGGAGGGAGGGAAGTGGGGCGAGGGGGAGGAGGAAGGAAGGGAAGGAGCCGGGGAGGCAGCAGGGGAGAGAGAGAAGAGAAATGCTCTCACAAGCTCACAAGTTTCTGGGAAAAGAAAAATAATCAAGTTATTAGGTTTCTCATTTTACACTGAAAATGGGGAAACAGTGTGAAGTGTTTACAGACTTCTTTTTAGGTCATTATCTAAGCCTCTTATGTCAAGTAATTGGTGAGGGCAGGAGAATTTTTGGGGGGTGGAGACAAGCACCGACTCAGATATTATATTTCCCCCAAAATTCTTCTGAGGAAATTAACTGAACAAGTTCAGCCAAACAATTAGAATGAACCAAGAAGTTCTGAAATATAGTAGAGTATTCATCAGAAAACAATAGCAAGTATAATTTTAAATAAACAAAAATATCAAAGGCATTTTCTCAAAAATCAAGACCATCGTTGCTACTATTACTTGTTTGGGGAATTCCAGGTGTGAAATGAGAAAAAATACAGTGATGTAAATGGAAAATAACAGACGAAATTATCATCATTTAGATAATATGACCGAATGACTAGGTAACTAAAAAGACTCACCAACAAAAAAGATTAGTGCTGATAAAAGAGTTTAGTGAGATGTCAATACAAGGAAAATATTTAAAAAATAACTAATTTATCTTTATCCCAGCAATATTTATTTACAAACAGAAGAATATCTCACTCAGTATGGTACAAGCTATACTTTCCCTTGTATAAAGGTACCCAGGGAGGAGGAAGACCTGCAAGAAGAAAATCAGAAACTCTACGGAAGGTCATTACACAAGATCTAGATGGAGGGAAAGGCACATTGCGTTCTCAGTGGGGGTGGGGGGCCTGAATGTCATTAGCATGTCAGTATATAACACATTTATATGTAATTCAAAGCTATTCTCATCATGAAAATCTTAAAAGAGAACAGTGAGGTACTGACAGAGCTATTAACATATATTAGAAAGTTATAATAATCAAAACATGGTGCGGGGCTACAGGATGGAAAAACGGACTAACACGTGAAGTCCAGAAACAGCCCCAAGAAAATATGTAAATGTGACAGAAAACCAGCTAACACTTACCGAGTGCTTTCTAGGTGCCAAATACTATTCTATGTGTTTTCATGGCTTAATCTACTTAATTCTCTCAAAACCCTGTGAGATAGTACTATTCTTTCACCCATCACCCATCTTCTAGATTGAGGGGGTGAGGGACACAGAGACTAAACAACTTTCACAGGACATGGAGCGAGTGGCCGTAACTGGGAGCAGAGCTCGGAGACTGGCTTCAGAGCCCGTGCCGGAACCAGCATCCTGGGCCGGCTCTGCGCGTGGTGGGTGTCCTCTGCCGGCAGTGGGAAGGAATGCAGTCCGTAGTAAGTGATACTGGGGATGCTTGACCCCTGCTTCACAGCATGTATAAAAACACATGGCAGGTGAATTCAGAGCCAAATGGTTAAAGACCAAATCGCAAAAGTGTTAGACAAAAAATACAGGTGTATTTATGTAACACTGGGGTGGGGAGGGCCTTCTTGGGCAAAGCAGGAAACCCAAAAGCAATAAAGGAAAACCAACACATGTAGTTAAGAAAACAAAGAACTAAAATCTTCTATGAAAAAAGCAACAGAAGACAGATGACATATGCTATACTTATAACAAAAGGATACTAACTTGATATACAAAGAGCTCCTTTAGATTAACCATAAGACAGAAAAATAAAGCACACACATAGGCAATTCAAAGAAGAGACTATGCACAGAGGCGAAACTCACCGTGGTCAGGGAAACGCAGGTTAAAACAACAAAGGGGTCCAACTTAGGGATTTTTGGATTGTTAAAAATATAAAAGATCGGCATGACCAGGTATGTCATAGGTATACATACGCAACTGGAAAATTGCACCGAAAATTGCTATAAAATTGTGGGACAGGATTTTTGTTAGTATTTCTTAAAATGAAACTGCTAATTTGACCCACCAATGTGGGTTCTGGAACTTAATGTGACAGTAATGAAAGCACTAGGACATCAAGCAGCTTGTGCAAGACTGCTTCCAGCAACACTGTTGGTAATGCCAAAGGCAGACAGACAGGTGAGAAGCAAGCTGAATGTCCACCAGCAGGGGAATGGCTGAATTCACACACAGCTAGAAATACGTGGCAATTTAAGAATGACGAAATCAATGAGATACGATTTCAGGACATTAGACTGACCCGAATGAGAATGTCTCAAGATGCAAAGTATGTCAACAATGCAGGGAGATTGCAACCCTCAAAAACAGCTGCTAGGGGGTGAAAACTGGCAGAATCTCTTTAAAAGACAACTGGCAATATCTAGAAAACTTAAAATGTGGTCTGCAATCCTGCAAGTCTATTTCTAGGAATATTCCCTAGAGAAACTCTTCCATGACATCACCAGAAGATGTATGAGAAAGCTCCCTGAGCGGTGGCTTGCGGCAGCCAGGAATTAAAGACAGTCCACCTGTGCATCAGCCGGAGCGAGGGTGAGCCTGGTGGTTCATTCATA